CTTACTTATCCAATTATCTCAAAATTTGAAATTCAAATTGTAACAACCGAACGCAGCAGCCAAAAGCGTGACACTACTATACTACAGGATTGTCTATTCAAATTAATTAATAATTAATTAATTAATACTATTGCTATAGTTCAAAACAAAACAAAAAAAATTACTACTATAGTAGTACTATAAAGCTACTTTGGTTCCCATATGATTTTTTAATTTTATTAAAATATTTTGCTATTACATGGGTTTCCTACGTGTATCATATCGTATCGTATTATACTGTATTAAAGTGTATTGTATCATTTGATGAATACAATGTTTGGACATATATATTGTTTGTCGTTCTTTTATGATATCATGCACCAGCAATATTATAAAGAAAAATTATGATATGAGTTAAAATTATTATATAAAAAGCTAGTGTAAATGATAAAATAAAATTATTTAATAATGACGAAGGGTGAGATGAAAGAAAAAGACAAGATAACGATGCGATCACACCAAATCGGTCGTTACAAAAAGTGGCACATTTCATCGTTGCGTAACGATGGATTTAACGATACAATATAATAAAATTTAAGTAACAATCAAAACAAATATTGTATTTAAAGTAACAATACGATAATATATAATAGATAACAACCATCCAAACGAGTTGTTATTGATCGAAATAAAGTTTCCTTTATGTTGTTGTTTTTTCATTAATCCACACTTACCATGTTGTTAACAATTCTAGTTTTTAATTTTCTGGTAAAATAATAATATAGCCGCTTCCAAAAATAATAGCCCGCTATTTATTTTTTTTATATTTAATTAGCGAATGTAATTATTTGTGATCAACGACAATGTGTTACTTGCCCTAAAGTTTTTCTTAATCATTTGTTTTCGTTTTTTCGAATATATATATATATATATATATATATATATATATATATAATTTTATTTAGAGTGAATGTCTATCTTTTAGAGAGTTTTACTTTGAGGCTAAGTCATTTTTTCCCTATAAATAGAGGAGTTTTACCCCATTGTAAATCACCCCAAAATTCAATAAGAATTCCCTCTATCTCTTTCTCTGCAATATTGTTCTTGTTCTTTTATTGTTTCATAACACGTTATCAACACGAGACTCTAACCAATTGAGTAGAAACTTTGAGATTGAGCATAATGAGACTCTAACCAATTGAGTAGAAACTTTGAGATTGAGCATAATGAGACTCTAACCAATTGAGTAGAAACTTTGAGATTGAGCATAATGGTTGTCAATTGTTCCATGAACTTCCTTCATGATTAAATTCTGGATTTAAGGTAAGTATTTTACTTTATTTTTCTATTTTAAATTCTTGAAATTCTATAATTTTATTTTAAATGCAAACAAAGACAACAAACTTTGATTATAACTCTTATAGAGTTTGCAAGAAATTATAACCATCCTAAGTGGTAAAATTTATATGCTTGCCATAATCAAATTCATGTATGATTGTGGGCAAAGAAGTGGAAACCCGTCCCATTGAATTTGCTTCATTCTCATTCCCCTTTTAAGAGAATGTGATAACAATATGTGATAAGTCTGAAAGAAGACAAAATTATTACCATGAAGGTATCAATGGATGTGGACGTGGTAATGGACGAAATTATAATCGTCATCATTGTGATAGTGAGAATAATAAGAATTCTCAAAATAATCTTTCACTATTTGAAAGTAATATTTGTCATCGATTTGACATGAGATTTTATAAAGCACATATAGATGATTATGGTCAATTCATGATGTGAATGTGACAACATCTAATTTATGAATACATATTCATTCTTGGAAGAATATGAACGTGCTAGTGGTAGTGAGTATACCACAGTCACCTCTAAAAGGAGGTTTGAGACGAAATAAGAAAATAATTTCATTATTATAGCATGAATGGTCATTGATCACGTACCTATTGTGATTATGCCAAATATTTTGGTAATGCGATTATTACATGGCAAAAGTAATAGAAGCAACATATCTTGCCTATAATGATTTTGATCATGACCATAATGGTATAACTTTCTATTTGAAAGAGATATTCACCATATGGATGTTGATGAATATGTGATAGTATAAAATTAATTGAGAGCTCTGAAGAGCCAATTATTACTATTTTGGAGGAATACAATTGATTATCATGTCAATTTATTGTGTTGTAGTAAGTCTCAAAGAAACATAATTGAGTTTCTAAAGTATTCGCGAAAGCGGTTGGTTATATTGAGACTATAAATAAAGGAAAGATTTAATTTTCTATTACTGCAACTTGTAGCAGGGTAATATGTATGTGAAAAGTTATCTATTTTATTCTCCAATTTGTACTACATAAATAAAAGAATGCCACAATAAACTTGGAGTTTATTGATAATTACACACGTCATAGTATAAACCTGAACTTTATCAATATTGATAATTTATTCAGCTGACATAATTGGTTTATCCATATCAATTCAAGTATGATGTGCAAAAGTAAAAGAGAATTACACATGGGTAAATATTAAAGAACTAAAAAGTTCTTTACGAATTCTCATATGTTACTTGTTCTCATTAATTAGTAGACCAACTAAAAATTGGGATTGAATCCCATAAATGCTGAAAATATCAAAGGTGAATCTGGGTCCATTCACCTGCCATGTATACCACATAAGATGCATCTATGAGATGGTTACATGTGCGATTATTATTAACCCCCAACATGGTATTTGCGAGGTAACTTGCTCAATAATTTAAATTAGAGCATAATTTCCAAATTTTCTATTCAAGACAGTTCATCTTGATAAATTGGTTTACATCACAGTTGGTTTAGCGAAATGATTTATTGAGTGCCTTCACTTAATAGTTAAACTATTGCTTATGAGAACAAAGTTATCTATATCAGTTTGATATACATTATATACAAAAGTATATTACATTCTCCCCTCACAACTGGTTCAGGGTCAAGAACCAAATAATTCCATCTTATTACTATTGATGTGCGGTGTATATTTTGATTAATACCATAATGCACAAAGATGGGTTCCCGAAATTGAGTAAGAAAATTAGCTTTTCTAACATGAGAGGGAGACAAGATAAACAATTAAGAAAAGTTACGTGGAACGAATTATCATTTCTACATCTAGATCATCGAATAAGATAATATGAACTTGAAGTTCATAAAAGGATAATTCATCTGCAATATATTGCAAAGCATGCCAGACGCATTTGCTGACCCAAAGAAAGTAACTATATCCTCATTGCAAATGCTCTTATTAAGTCCTAGAAGGACAAAGTCTATGCTACGCTTAAAGCGTATACACAAATCGGTTCAAATAAACTTCATTATAAAGAAGACGAGCAAATGATCGAATAGAATTGGTTTCATATGAAAGACATATAATTTTGAACCTGTAGTTCAAACACTTGAAAGTGTAAAGTCAATGGTGTGCAATCACTTTCATGTATCTTATATGTCTAGCATGGCATGAAAACTTGATGCAAATCTGAAGTCTATTTATATGGCTTATATGACTTAACTTATATGACAATCCCTGAAGGATATTGCTTAAAGCATATAGAATTCTTGGCCATGAAGTACTAAATCCAAAGTGCAATTTGTGCACATTTGTATCTTGCTATAATTATCAGCATGATAATGTGATAGCGAGGATTTTCAAAGTGCAACATATTCATTGGAGTTAATATGGATGATTTATTCATCAAATCTCTACTGATGTCAACCTTCAAGAAGCTAGTGCACAAGATTGTGATGCGAAGATTCAAGGATGTGAATTGATGCTCTCATCAGGGGGAGTTAATGCGCGTTATACTCTTTTTCTCTTACAAGGTTTTGTCCCACTGAGTTTTCCTTGCAAGGTTTTTAACGAGGCAACCAAACGGCGCATTTCTAAACATGTGTACTCTTTTTACTTTTCTAAAAATTTTTTCCCACTGGGTTTTATTTTAGTTAAGGTTTTAACGAGGCACATTATTTGTTGAATAGACATTCAAGGGGGAGTGTTATAAATAGAATTCTATTTAGAGTGAATGTCTATTTTTTAGAGAGTTTTACTTTGAGGCTAAGTCATTTTTCCTCTATAAATAGAGAGGTCTTACCCCATTGTAAATCACCCCAAAATTCAATAAGAATTCCCTCTCTCTCTTTCTCAGCAATATTGTTCTTGTTCTTTTATTGTTTCATAACAATATATATATATATAGATAGATAGATAGATAGTGAAAAGTAACAATTGTCCATCAATATGACTTTCATCAATCAGATAACATTAGGTTGCAGTTTATTTGCTATGAATTTAAGTGGGTGTTTGGACATAAGGATTGTGAAATTCCAGAAAAAAGAGATTTTTTTTTTAAAAGAGAAAATGTTATGTAAAAATTAGAGTTGTGTTTGGATATGAATATAATCTGGAGTTGTTTTTGAATTTTTGTGAGTGATTTTAGTCTGTTTGGACATAAAAAAAATGCACTTTTTTTTCGAAATCAGTGTTTGGCAATAAAGTTTCTAATTTTCACTTGAAGATGAATTTTGAAATTTTTTGAAATTTTGAAAAACTCCAAAAAGCTATTTTTCAAAATTTTCACTTAAATCACTCACAAAACTTCAAAAACAACTCAAAATAATATCCATGTCCAAACACAACTCTAATTTTCAAATACGATTTTCACTTGAATTTTTTTTTCACTTTTTTTGGAATTTTATAATTCTTATGTCCAAACGCCCACTATGTGAACGTCTTGAAAAACAACTTTTTGAAGTTTTTCAAATTTTCGAAAAATTCCTAAAAATTTCTTCAAATGAAATTTGAAAAATTCATGGCCAGACATTGATTTTCGAAAAAAGTGAAAATTTCTCGAAAAAGGTGAAATTTTTTTATGGCCAAATAGGTAGTAAGTTATATGGTCTGTCAATATATTCTGTCTCAAATAATCAGTAGAAATAAATATACATACACCATCTTTTGATCAACAAACATGCATTAATAAAAATTTGTGTGAAATATAACCAATATTTTTTCCACAAGAAATATTAATACAAATCCTTAAACTTTCGCTTGCGCTATAGAGTGAGGAATAGGAGCAAAATAATCACTAGACTTGAGAATTTTCAAAAGAGGCAGCAAAACATCTGCAAAATAGTAGAAAATAGGAAAATCAGAAAACCAAATAATATATAGGAATGCCTAAAGAATGAGTGTGAAACTATTTTAATTATAGGTAAAGTTACTAAATTTATATAATTTCTTATTTTCATTTTTGTCAATGGGACACATGTTGATGAGCCAACTGTCGAGACCGAAATAACAATACGTCATGCAGAAGCTAATAAATAAACTTTGAATAACAATAAAACAGACAACAAAGAGAACCTGCTTTCGCAACTTGAAAGACACCCAGCCCAGCCCCTTAATCACAAATGTGATCCTGTGATTGCAAATGCGAGATCTGCAACTAGACACAAGCAACTGTTGAGCATCATCAGTTGCAAACTCATCTGTAACACACTCAAAACTCACCTGAGCCCATCGGGCTCCAAATCGTACATGCACACGAGTGTAATAACATCCTACAAACTTGCTCGCTACCTCAAATCATCAAAATAACATCAAATAACACGATTCAATCATCAAAACTCAAGAATTTCAACTTTAAAACTCATTTTCACAAATTCTCACATGACGCACCGAAATGCGCTCGGATCATCCCAAACCCCAAACAAACATGCGTACAAGTCCAAAAACATCATAAAATCTCGATCGAAGAGTGAGATATACCTTTGATTTAGCATTTCTTTTATGTGAGGAAGGCATGTTTGGTTGTGGCTGCACAATAGGGAACTTAGCAGCTGCTATTTGCTTTTCCTCTTTTACTTTGTTGAAAATTACTGTAAATCCTTCTCCAGATTTGGGATCTTTCTCATCCCATGCTCCAAATTTTGGTACTGATGCTGATGAATAATAAGACTGTCATATGGAGGAAGTGGTTCAATTAGAGCATATTTCTTCACCACTCAATAAATTCACAATACGACTAGGAATTTAAGCCTGAATTCACTTATAAAATAGCAAAAATGATGCAGAGGTTTATTGCATCATCATTTATTTTTGATTAAATACGATCCATGTGACAAGGAGGTCACGAGTTCAAGTAGGCTGCATACTATAGACCCTTGTGGTCCGACCAGGGGCGGATTTAGGGCAGCAAAAGGGTGTTCAACCGAACTCCCTCCTTCGCAAAATTATACTTTGTATATAAGGCAAAATCTAATTTTACCTCTATATATTATGTTTTGAATCCCCTTCACACAGCTCAAAAGCACGGCTTAGTCAAAGGGGTTCATAATCATTATGAGGTCACTGGTTCCATTCCCACTAGCTAAAATCTCTTTAAATTTTTTAACCTATTTCTTTTTTGAATCCCCTTAGCAGAAGTCTTGCCTCTGCCACTGGGTCCGACCCTTCACCGAATCCCACGCATAGCGGGAGCTTAGTGCATCGAGCTACATTTTTTTAAGAGATAAAACTAGGATTAAATTCAAAAGAGAAGAACCCCTCTTATTGAAGTAGGATTAAGTCATGAACTACGTCCACTTTTCAGTAGCGACATCCCCTTGCACTTAATATATAGTGTAAACATTAAGTGCGAGTAAGTTTTTACGCTATAAAACAGCTCATTTCGGCAGCAAAGCATGAAATACAACAAGCTTGAGCTCTCAAAGCATCATATCTTGTTGATTCTCCTTTTGCACTGCCTCGAACTCTCGCTTTTTTTCAGGATGAATACGCGTGTACCCTAAGCTTTGCTCATTTTAACCATCAATCTAACATGTATCACTATGATATATATTAATCACTTCATCAACTTACTTGCTAAGTATTCTTGCATGTTCTTACGAAGTTGTTACTAAATTTTATACTAATAATAACACTACACAAAGTCTTAATTCATACATATTATATGATTCTCAACCCTAAATGATGATTCTATAGCTCTAACCAAAGAGCAGAAGAACTTACAAGATCATCAGATGGATTTCTGCTATTTATCAGTCTATTTGGACTAGGTGGAACGAATATATTGCTGCGATCATTCTTATTCTTCTTAGCATCAGATGTCCTGCGACGAACAGTTGTCTCGTTAATTGAATAACCAGAAATACTCTTATCTTCAACAGCAGAAAGATTTCTGCAGTGACCATAATTGTACCGATGAGGCGTTTCGATTAAATGAGTATTCGCTGGAGAAACATTAATACTAGCATCTTCATATCCTCCATATGCAAAAACCTCTGGATTCTCCTCAGGATCATTTGGATTTATTATCTTACCACCTTTTCCTCTGCGCGCTTTCTCAAAATACGCTGTGTATGGCACATTGTCACCATCCCAGTTTCCGAACTTAGGAACATGTGATCCCTGCTGCAATGAGTATACAACAACGCTTCATTGTTAAGCAAGTTGAGGTCGGCTGTATGAATCATTACTAATCATGCCGCTCCATTTAAGTTCTCTATATTTTAATATAAATCATTGACATGACTAAAAGACTCATTGAAAATATAGGACTTACAACTTATTTGATGGTTATTATGTATTGTATTATAATCAAACCTCTCTATAACAGCTTCGTTTGTTCCAAATATTTTTGATTATTTTACCAATTATATTATGGCATAACACTAAAATTGGTTCCGGAAAAGCTTGAGTTTTATAGAGAAGTGTTGTTATATAGGGATGATGTTATAGAGAGGTCTGACTGTATATAGTATTGTTTTGATGTATATATTGTTTGGATAGATCTTATTGTTTGCCGTCGTTTTATGATATGTCATGCACCCACAATGTGCAGAATAAACTTGCAATGTTATAAACAAAAGTAAGGTACGAGGTAATATTATTATATAAAAAGGTATGGTAAAAGATAAAATATAATTATTTAATAATAAAAAAAGAGCAAGATGAGAGGGGAAAAAGAGGTAACGACGCGACAACATCAAACCGGCTTTTCGATAAAGTGACAACTTTGAATTTGTTCTTTAATCACATAGTATCTTAATCTACAAAATAAGAAGATTCCTAAGATTTTTAACATCCATAATCAACAGCACCTTTGCCTTGTAAAATTGACAGAACTATTTGATTGTAAAGGCAAACAATGCACTTCATTTGTTATCACAAATGAGTAATTAGGACCATACAAATAAATAAACTAATAATAAATCTAGCCATAATCAAGACTAACAAGCTAATTAAGGTGCAAAAATCAGAAATTGAAGAGAAAAATTTACTTACAGCCATTAATGATTTTGGAATTCTTCTTCTTGTTATTGAGTTCTTCCATTGAACAATGACTAATTGTGTATTAAGAAAACTCAAGATTTGAAGTGGGACCAATTTAAATTTATTTTCTTTAATTTATCGGAGATCCCAATGAAATTTTGGACCTGCTAGGCAACTAGAGAAATTGTTTTGTTGGTTACAACTATTTGTTTCCATTGAAATAAAACAAAACAAGAAAACGCTAGCTGATTTCTTCTCGTATGGTTAAGACTTGGTAGACAAAGTTATCTAATATTTATGTTGATAGCAAGTATTACGTGAAATAATTGAAGTACGTGCAAATTAATCCGAGCACGAGGATTATTTAAAAGACCAACAACGACTTTAAAATTGTCTTTTTCATTACATGGAGGAAAGCAAAATGATTTAATTGGTTTTTCGTTGACTCCTCTTTTGGAGTGTTAATTGTTGGTTATAGTTATTTGTTTCTATTGAAATAAAACCAAACAATCTTGAGTCCAAAATTAGACTCTTGACATGGACGATTGCCAGATATCTTTAACAAAATTAAGCGAAATGATTCGAAAGTTTATAGGCGAAATGGTCTCGTGGCCACTTAAATTTATACGAGATTTTAAAGCTGATACACGAATTTATATTGTTCTCATTTAAACACTCAAACTGACATATTTGCTAACTAATAAACATATTTAGCCGTTAACCATGCACATGTGCAATGACAGAAGTGATATGGACAAAGTGTGTGTAAGTCACGTAAATTAAGCGCGTGACTACAATAATTTTGATTAAAAAATATAAAATCAGAAGAAAAAAGTTACAAATAAAAAAGAAAGAAAATAGACTATAAATGACGAATTTTGGTTGGAAAATTCTACTTATTCAATCCGACTTTTTCTCTTTGTCTGATTTCATCATTTATATTTTTCTTTGACATAGCTTCGCTGGCTCTTTTGTTGCCTTGACGAAATTTTAGTAGGTGGCCCATCGACTCTTTGATTTGGGGTATGAATTTTATGAATTTTGTTAGAAGTGAAAGATAGAATGAACTTTATGGAAATTCATGGCTGATTGAGTCAGTCAAGTGATGGCTGGAATTTTTCCCCGATAGCAGCGGTAAAATGTGTAGAAGAAATAGTGAAAGAAGTAAAATAAGAAAAGACATCTTGATAAATTAGTTTTAAAAAAGGGACCCACAGATGACACATGTAAAATAGTAAATGGTCTTAGGATTTGACGTGTTCTTCTTTCAAGCAATTGAGTTACACGTGGGTTTATTTATACTCAATTGATTGAGTTGAGGTGCTAAAATGAGAAAATCCAAAGTTTAAATATCAACTTTAAAATCTCGTACAAGCTTAAGTGGCCAAGAAGCTATTTCGCCAAGTTTATACGAAAACAACAACGATGCCTCAGTTATTTTAGACTCGTGCATACAACTTAACCCCTTTTTATGTCAATCGTCTGATTTACAGGATGTCCCCTTTGTTTGGGATTAAGAGGTAATTATTGTTGTTTGGTTACAGAGTACATTTTTTCAAACTTTGATTTTTTTTCTAAGTTTTCCAAAAGTGAAAAGACAGTTGAAATATTTCTTTAACTATATACTAAATGAAAGGTGAAAGAATTTATCCACTAAACTATACATAAATCATGTTCTTTATTAGTTTTCATAGATTATATACACATAGTAGAATGTAAATAACACTGAGGGCTTTTACGTGGAAAATTCCCAGCTCAATGGGATTAAAAACCACGACCTATACTTGTAGGATTTCAACTTCACTACTGAGCAACTTTTAGATTACAACCCATGTAACCTAGGAATTAACTACTTAATCCCTTATTAACTTGTAACACACCTATTACAAGCCACTTTATAATACTCCTATTACAAAGACTTCACAACATGACTAACTCTAGCCACGACACAGACACTGGAGTTATGATTTAACAAGAGTTTCCTAATCAATGCTTCTAGACAAGCTAAGTAGGAATTACAATTGAAGAACTATTACATAGTTACAACTCTATTAAGGACATACAGAGACTTGATATGGGAACTGGTCCGTAGAAGTGTCGTAGTTTGTTCTTGATGCACTGGAGAATCGTTTTTGCTTGATAATCAATCACGTGGAGTGTTTGAGTAAATTCTCTAGTGTTCAAGTGATGTTTTGTGATTGGATTAATGTTATTATAACATTGATGACATCACTTGAATGATATAAGCACTTTATGATACAAGGTCGTTCCTAATGGAAATGACAGTTGCACTGTGTTGTACTGTTTGCGTGTGTAGTGCAGTTAATCACTTTCCAGCTGTGGAGAGTTGACTTAGTACAGTCACCAGGGGAACCTAAGATAATCTGTTCCCTGTGTTGATTCTTTAACTTCTAAAGTTCTGACAACTATCTCCAGCTTGAGTCAGGTTGTTTTCATGCGCTTGAGAATGTATACCAAAAGTGAATCAGGTTCCTTATCTGGTTCTTGACAATAAGTTTGTTAGATCATCAAAACATAAAACGAATGTACTTATAACCTATCAATTTTCCCCTTTTTGATGATGTCAAACTTATAATTGAAAATATTGCAAAGAACCATTGTGCACCAGGAACCTCACAGAGTTCCCCCTGAAATTGTATTCCCCCTTAATCAGTGCACATCATTATTCAATTTATCTTCCCTCTTTAGGCATCATTAAAAGCACAGAACAAGTAAAAAAGCATAACGAAGTCTAGCGTGGTTAACTCATGCCACTTGTGTGCACACAACATGATAGAGAACGGAGACAGATGAGCAATAGCACAAACAACAAAAGGAAAAGACTTGCATTAACCAAATTTGAACTGTTACAGGCGGGAGCAGAATCGTTGTTACCATCCACAAAATAAAAAAAAAAACAAAACAAGTACCAGAACAAACATCATCAAAACAGACTTAAAAGAGAGACACTGGAAATTGGACACTAAGGGGACATTTCTTAAGGGGAACTGGAGGAAGAGGGCTTGGAAGAGGCAGCAAGGGTTTTGAGGACAAGATCCATCCGAGCATTTGCGGACATTGGCTCATTGAGCAGTTTCTCCTTTAGGTCCTCAACCTATTTCCTGAGCTCAGCATTTTCCTTTGTCAGTCGAGCAACCTCTGAATTAGAAGAACTGGTAGAACCTGGTGCCCCCTGTACCTGACTAAGCTGAGTCTCTAAAATAGCATTCCTAGCCTTCAACTTCCTTATCTCCTCTGTAGCACTATTCTGGGCATTAATCAGCAGAGGGATAGTTGAGGTGTTGCCGACTCTTCCGACCTTGTCGATGCATTCATACTCTTCCAGGGTGGTCTTGGAGAAGGTCTGCTTCTTGGTCCCCACCTTGGCCTGTCCCACGGGCATCTTAAAGAACTTGAAAACCTTTGTGAAGAGGAACCTGAAAGGGAGCCCATAGTTGCCGTCCTTAAAATCTGCCACATTTTGCATGTGCTCAATCATGATTCCTGGCAGATTGATAGTGGTGAAACTATCCAGGGCTTCTATAAGGACTAAATCGGCATTTGATGTGATAGATCTCCTCTCAGCACGGGGAAGAAATACCTTGTTAATCATCTCAAAAATCAACTGATAAACTAGGGGTGCCTTTTTGTGCACCCGTTCCCCATGCTGAACTGCCCTTTCCTTGACAATGGTATTGCTGAAATTTGACGTGCAGGCACCCAGAATGGATGATAATCCCTTAGTGGGAACTTCCAGAATTTGTCCCAACACAGCAGAATCCATCACTATGTCCACACCATTTACCAAAGCACAAATATGATCATTTTCAACCGTGAAGAGGTCTGCATAGAAGTTACGCACCTCCTCCTCATATACCTTTGGTACATCAACTGTGAACATATGTTTACACTGCTGGAACTCACTGATTTCTACCAACTTTCTCATCCCAGCCATATTCATAATCTCAGGGGCAAACGTGTGGCCCCACAATACCTTTTAATATCGCAGCTTCTCTTTTCCAGAACTCTAACCAACTTTTGTCTTTTTGGAGGAACAGGGTTCCTCATCATCATCCAACTTCCTTTTCACTGAGTTGCGACTAGACTAACCCTTTTCTACAGACATTGTATGCATAAGCTCACCTGAAACTTCCATTTCTTCATCATCCAACTTGTTACTACTCATATTCACTGACTTGCCACCAGAACTCTTCACAGGCTTTTCACTGGGGGTAGCATCAATACTCTTAGATGGACTCTCAACACTTTTATACGTGTGCTTGTTAGATTGAGAGAGAAAATGGTAATGCTTCTGCCTCAAAGACTTGCGAGTTAAGGAACTAGGTTCCTCTTCAGGTTCCTCATCCACAGCAACCACAGGAACATCCTTGTCTAGTATAACTTTTTCATCTTTGACCAACTTTCTCTTTCTTTTACTCCTATGGATTTTCTTGAGAGCATATTCGAGAGCCTCCTTTTTCTGTAACCGTGTAGTGGGTCTCTTAGGAGGAGGCTCCGGGGTTGCTACTGGCTTTCTAACCCTGATAAAACTACTAATCACCATATCATCTAGGTCTTCTTTACTGTCAGACTTCATCTCCGGCACCACCATATCCAGGAGCTCAGCATAGAAGTAAGGAGAAGGAGCAGGATCAACACTAACCTGGGGTAATGATTCCTTACCTGGATTCTCCGGGGAGGGATCAAGTCCATCATTTAGAACCCCAGTAGCCTCAGCTTGTGACGGATGTTCAAATGGCACAAGTGCTCCCTCCTCAACTGTGGGCTAAGGCTCTTCCCCCTAAGGCACATACCCTCCTATAACTTCTTCTATAACCACCCTTTCTTGAGGTTCCGTAGAAATTGCAACAGAGGGAGCAGAGATACTTGTAGAATCGCAACCTGTCACGGTTGTCTCAGCTTTTTGTGGATTGATCGTTAGGGTTTCACTAGAGGGCTCTTCCATGGTAAGAGACAATGTTCCCTGTTTTTCCTCGTGAACTAAGTCGCCCTGTTTA